CCCATGGTTGTAAGGGGTGGAAAACGCAACCCCTAAAATTTATTTCCAATGTAACTTTTTGTCTTATCATTTGTTTACCATTTAAAAATTCATTTCCGATAGCCTGTTTCATTCTAAACAAAAATGTCTCCTGGGTTTTTTGCCCAAAATAAACTTGGATAGACCATAAGACAAAAAGTTACATTGGAAATAAATTTTAGGGGTTGCGTTTTCCACCCCTTACAACCATGGGGTAGGCCAAATAAATTACTGGCTAAGTGGTAGTACAAAACGTCAGGTCAATTTCAATATTGTAACTTTTTCAGTGCTTGTGAAAAAAATTGTCATACTAATTTTATGTACCCCCTTTAAGGGGCTGTATCTCAACAAGGGATGCTCCAATGAAATATCTTTATATGAAAGATCCTATCTTTTTTTCGATGAGGAATCACCTCTTCAAATGTTTTACACTTATTTAGTTAAACCTTGTATAGTAGGGAGGGTGAGTGTATACCCACAGCACTTAGGCCACATGTGACGACCCATTTTACATCGTCCCGAGGAGTTGTACTCCTAGGTCATCGTCCATCCTTTCCTTTCCAGGACGGTGGACAGGTCACTAGGAAACATCTCCTTTATATCGGCAGGTGTAGGGCAAGACTCGCCGAACACATTTTCTCTTTGGCAAGCTTGAGGTGTCTCATGGCGATCGTCGCGAAGGTTTTGGAAGGTGCAGCGACATTACTGTCGTTGCGCGGCTTCTTCAACCTTCCTGGGGTTCCCTCAATGGAGGTGTTCAAGTGAGGGCGCTTTCCTTTTGGGGGCAGCCGGTTCCTTGCCTTTATTTAAGGCGGAGATCTTAGCGCCAGCCGCAGGAAGTACCCTTGCTGTTGGAGGTGGAGTGGGGGAGGGGAAGGGTGCACTTATAGTTGCTGCAACTCCTACCTCTTTCGCTCTCTTTCTCCTTTTGGTCTCGACGCCGCAAATGCGCCGCCTTTGTATTACATCACGAGGTGATCTGCTATGTCCAGCCTCATTCCGAGCGGTAGATTGGGGTGGACATTTCTGTTCACTGCTGCCACTGACCAGGAGTCCAGCGATACTGTCCGTAAGGCTTCTCGGCTTCCCGGACAGGGCCCCCAGTCCCCTGGCCGTTCCCCTATTCCCCACCTGAGGAGGTGATTAAAGTGATTAAAGTTCAATCTGAGGAAGATTAAAATTTAATTTTTCTCTTGAAGGTGATCACTTGGTGATTGAAACACGTGTCGAGGTGTTGGAAATAACGGTTTTGTGTTGGGATAAAACTCCAGTGATAATCATTACTACACCAAAGCTTCCAAATAGTGTATTAAAAGTATAAAATGATTTCATCATCGACAAAATGTTTTCAGTGTAACTATTTTCATTCGGGTTCAAAGGCTGACAATTTTTGGAACTTCTTCCTGACGTTTCGCGGGCGTTTATATTCGCGTTATTTTGATTTCTACTCATTTTAAGTTGGGTTAACGATATTATTTGGTTTAATGACAGTAAAAATATAAGATGACTAGATATATCTTCATATTCTCAGACAGCGAAATATATAAAGTTCTAGCAAAAGTCAAAACCCCTCCCATTATGTACAAACTCTATTATAATCCTTCGGTTTTATAATTGGGGTTATAAATAGTATACCAAATAGTAAAGCAATGATATTTCTGTGCATCAATTAGACGGCATCTTTATTTCCATAAAATCATTATAATTATAATTATATTTCAGTGGTGAATTGGCACAATAGACACATTCCAATTACTAGAAACGGATGCAGACATTCAATTTGCTGGGTGTAACGCAATCAGAAACGATCGTGGTGTTTTTGAAAGAGTTTGAGAGTCGATAAGGAGAAGATTGGATTCTTGTATCCGAGCGGGGGGTAGTCATCAAAAATCATCAAAGGACAAAATATCCTCAGAATAGTCCAAGCAATAGTCCCTTAAATTTTTGCCGCATGTGTAATGAACACCCTATATGAAGATTGTTCACTACCAAACAAAGGTCATCACTCAAATGTCCAAAACCGTTATATACATCAGTGGGTTATGTATGCATTTCAAAGCATATCTTGTATTTATATCCAAGACGTTTCATGCAGACAGATAGCTAATGATGCCTTGGTGATGGTGTTACACTTCGAAAAAACAAGGTAGCTTAGTCTTCTGGTACTTCGAATGTACGGTTGACTTTTGTTGGTAACTACTGTGTTTTGTTTTTTCTTTGTATTGGATGCACTCCGCTGTAGAAGGCCGATAAGGTTCCTTCGTATGCATCGTCATGAGCAAAATGGCAGCATCTGCTTTTTGTCCGACGTGAAGTCGTAATAATACCGTTCTTTTTTCTTCCATTCACCAACAGAATAATCATTACCATCTGTTGACAATTATCATTGTATATTCAACTCCTATTTCTCACAGTATCTTCGAATTCCAAGGCTGACTAGGATCCGAAGTATGATGCTATTCTGAGAAAATATATAAACTGTATTCAAACATGTGAAATGTAGGTAGAACTTTTTGTTTAAATTGAAAGGATATACTTTTTTTAGGAGAGACTAATTTTTGGGAAAAAAAGTTTTTGGCCTTCTACTTCTCCATATTGATACAACAAATGTAGTAATCTTCCAAAGAAAGGAAGGAAGCAATCAATTTAAAAAATTAACTCTATGGCAGGGATTTGATCAAATAAGCGAATGAATGTTATTGACATACTGTCACCAATGACATGGGTAGATTCAACCCATTCCGTGACAAAAAGTAATTATGAACGAATTGAGTGTTTTTTCTTATAATGTTATCCGTATTTGCTACAGTAGGACCGATGAGGCAAGTCTTTTACGGCGAAACATCCAATGTATATTAGTGGGGATCACAGTGTTTCATGTAGGAATCCTGTGAATGTTATCTGATTCGATTACATTGCGAATGTTTGGAATACAAACGGAATGGAGAAAAGTGTTTTCAATTCAGCGTTCACATGAAAGTATTTGTTTTGAAAGTTTTTTTTTCGTTTACTTAATTCAATGTTTACATGAAAATAGCGAAAGGGCTTTTTATTCCAGTTTGTGTCTGAAGTTAGTGAGAGTTAATTTTTGTAATTAAATTACGTTCTTCCATTCTTTGGAAGATTGCCACATTTTTGTAACAAGATGAAGAAATAGAAGGCCAAAAATTATCTTTCCCAAAGTATGAGTGTTATAAATTTATCATTGTTATCTGATTACACCCTGTATATCGTTTTCAGTTGACATTTTGTTAGTAGTGATCAAGGTTGATGTGAAAATATAAGTTTTGTTGAAAAAAAAAAAGTAAAGTTTTTGAAAGACGTCTGACTTTTCTAAAAGATTTTTTATGAAAACATATTGTATATATGAAAATACATAATTGAAAGACAAATTATTGATAACATGTTTGTTACAGCGAAGTAAACGATTCCAAAATCCACGTCTTTGAGAAGAATGGCCTTTTTGATATAAAGGCTACAGCTGAAATCCCTTTCCTAGAAGCACCTGAAGAATTTTCGTGCGAATTACATATCCCCCAAGCTAACTATACCGTCAGAAAAGAAGCTGTGTACTATCCAGGTAAAGTTTTCATATTATATTCAATGCACAATACGAGGTCGGCTATTAATGTAGCAATTCTTCTACAGTGGAATGCTCCCCTTAAATATACTCACCTTCCCACGACACACACCTTTCCATACGTTTTTTCTATTGATCGAAGCAGTGCTGGAAGTCTTCTTTGGTGAGGGCCTTTAAGATCTGCCGTTTTTTACTTTACCGCTTCCATCGACTCAAATCGAGTCCCTTTCGAAGCAGATTTTATCTTCAGAAACAAAAAAAGGCACACGGTGCCAAACTTGGCGAGTACGGCGCGCGTACGAGCACTGGACTCCGTTTATCGGCCAAATACCGCTTCACATCGCGTTATGGGCAGGTATTTTGTCCTGGTGCTGAATCCATGAATTTTTCTTCCACAACTCGAGCCGTTTCTTACAAACTCATTCTCGCAGTGTTGCCAAAACTGACAAATAATACGTCTGGTTGGTAGTCTGACCCTCTGGAACCCATTCAGTCATCACGATACCGTTATTTTTTTCCTTAGTACAAAACACAAGCACTACAGGAAAATCCTAACGACGCTCTCAGAGCGGTGCCTGTGCGAGAGTAGCGATCAACATTGGATTTGAATCGCTGGAGATTAAATTCATTTGGGAAAACGTTCTCAGGAAGTTTATTCCACATAAACGCAGTTCTCCAGATGAAAGAGTGGAGTTCAAACAGTGGAGTTCGAGATGTACTGAGTTGAACCCCAAAACGATGATCAGCCACAGTCTGTCGCGTATTTCTGATATGTACCGCTCTTGGTGTAAACAAATGTGCCAAGTCACTTGAACAACTCCCGTGAAAGTATACATGAAAGAGAGACAAATCTCCATCCCTTCTCCGATGTTCTGAGCTATCAAAATTGCACGTGATGTTCGCCTCTCCAATCAGGCGGATGACTCTTTCCTGGATGGAATCCAGCAACATCAGGGTATGTTTTGGGGCAGAGCTCCATACATGAGAACAATACTCCAGAGAAGGTCTGATCTGAGCTTTATAAAGCATCAAAAGTTGCTGAGGTGTGTATAGTTTTCTGGTTAGGAATAATATTCCAAGCTTTTGAGAAACAGCCATTGCAATTCCAGCGATATGATTATGCCAAGACAGATTGGTTAATAATAATAATAATAATACATTTATTATTTACCAATACATATAGTAATACACAAAATAACTTTACAAAACAAAAGTATAAAATGCAGGTAAATAAAAGGAGAGCAGTTAGACTCTGCATCCAATTCTTCCACAGTCCCCTTGAGAAGCCAATAAATACATATACACGATAAGAAAAGTAAACTATACATTTTCGAACTTTAATCAAATATTTTGTTATCCAACTATGGTTGTTGAGTAGGATTTCATAAAACATAATCAAAAGGTACAGGCAACAAACTGTTGCTGACTAAATAGGAATCGTTTATACCTAAATTTAAATGCATCATAAGACAACGAAAAGTTAGGTACGTCCAGAAAAATGTCGAGAAAAACGATCAACATTGCCTTGGATTTTGATTTGGACATCCTTGCTCTCTCGGCCCTCATTGAAGCGCTTACACCACTCAAAAACACGCGTACGAGATAGAGAAGTGTCTCCATTGGCCTATTGCAACATGTTCTTTTCAAACCGCTACTGCACAAATACTATGATGACAGTGACGGAAACGTGTTTTGGTACGTCATTTTAGGTTTTTTAAACCTCAATCTGCGGAAAAATTCCTACTGAGCTGAATTTTGGTATACATCTTCATTATGGCGTTTTAATGAAGATGTGAAAAATCGACATTCATATCGTGCCAGCTAAATAATTTATAAGGGTCAAAAGTTCACGAAAATCAGTTTTTCACGAATATCTCGTGACCTATAGCTCGGAGGTCAATAAAGGTCATTATAAAAATTATTCCCCAAACGATTATCTACAAAAAATGTCAATTACATTTTTCTGTAAAGTCAACCGTTTTCGGACTAGAGCGTTGAGAAAGCGAGTAGAATGCACTCAAATAGGGTATTGTATACCGTACATATATAAGGCGTCAACTGTAGGTATTGCTTTTTATCAATGTATTTGAATTTCCTTAAAACATCTAAGTTCTACTCGGGCACTTTGAGACCAATATACTCATGTTGTAGAGGTTTCGGAGCCAATTAATTATCAATTATTTTGTGATAATGCAACATACATAATTGATGGTGGATTTCTTATGCATCATGTTGTATGGCAAAAAATGATACATTCAATATTATCATTAACAAATATATTAATTATTTATCAAACAATTTTGGTCAAAATACTGTTGTCATTTTTGATGGTTACTTCGATGCCAGTAAAAATATCAAAGCGATGGAACAACTGAGAGGAACCGCAGCCGTTTCTACATCTTGTGAAGTGAATTGATGGAAACACCTATCAGTCAAGAAAAATTTGTATCTAATCGATTTAACAAAAGAAAATTAATTGAAATGCCCATTGAGAATTTCGAAAAAGTTGGTATTTCTACAAGACAATCACGTGATGATGCTGACACATTAATAGTTGAAAACAGCAATTGAAAAATCAATAAATAATACTACAATTATCGTTGGCGAAGACATAGATCTATTGGTACTTCTCATAGCACGCACACAAATGCTTGATCAACCTACATTCATTTTTTTAAACAGAAAAAAATGATGTTGAAACAGAAATATACTCAAGTGAGAGCCTCAATAAGTATCCACACTGCGAGAAAAATATTATTCTGTTTCTACATGCTATGGCCGGATGTGACACAACTTCAACACTTTTTGGGAAAGGAAAAATGAAAGTCATGAAGATGTTTGAAAAAAGACTCGATTTACACAATTTTGCAGAAATATTCCAAAAAGAAAATTGCGCTCGAGATGTCCTTGTCAATGCTGGAATACATTTTCTACTAGCAATGTACGATGCTCCAAAATCAGAAAATTCAATTGACAATTACAGATACTGCAGCTTTGCTGAACTAACAAGACAAAGCACAGCTGTGATAATTCAATTATTACCACCCATTTCTTCAGCAGCTTAACAGCATATCTATCGAGTCAAAATACTGTTGTCATTTTTGATGGTTACTCCGATATCAGTAAAAATATCAAAGCGATGGAACAACTAAGACGAACTGCAGCCGTTTCTACATCTTGTGAAGTGCACTTCAATGAATCGATGGAAGTTCCTATCAGTCAAGAAAAATTTTTATCTAATCGATTTAACAAAAAAATTAATTGAAATGCTCATCGAGAATTTCGAAAAAGTTGGTATTTCTACAGGACAATCACGTGATGATGCTGACATCTTAATAGTTGAAACAGCAATTGAAAAATCAATAAATAATACTACAATTATCGTTGGCAAAGACATAGATCTATTGGTACTTCTCATAGCACGCGCACAAATACTTGATGAACCTACATTCATTTTTTCAAACAGGAAAAAACAATGTTGAAACAGAAATATACTCGACTGAGAGCCTCAATAAGTATCCACACTGCGAGAAAAATATTCTGTTTCTACATGCCATGGCCGGATGTGACACAACTTCAACACTTTTTGGGAAAGGAAAAATTAAAGTCATGAAGATGTTTGAAAAAAGACCCGATTTACACAATTCTGCAGAAATATTCCAAAAAGGAAATTGAGCTCGAGATGTCCTTGTCAATGCTGGAATACATTTTCTACTAGCAATGTACGGTGCTCAAAAATCAGAAAATTCAATTGACAATTACAGATCCTGCAGCTTTGCTAAACTAACAAGACAAAGCACAGCTGTGAAATTTCAATTATTACCACCCAGTTCTTCAGCAGCTTAACAGCATATCTATCGAGTCTATTATCAAATACAAACCTGGCTAGGAAAAGAAATTGATTCAGAACAGTGGGGTTGGGAGTTGAAAAATAATATATTACAACCAATAACAACTTTATTGCCACCAGCACCCGATGATCTACTAAACACAATCTTTTGTAATTGTACAAAAGGTTGTGGCGGCAAATGTGGATGTAAAAAAATTAGATTGAGATGTTCTAAAGCTTGTGGATATTGTCGTGGTCAGTCATGCTTAAACGCAGAGTCTACTAGTGAAGAAAATGATGAAGATGTTGATTTTACAATGTACAAATGAAAAATTATTGAGCATGAAATGAAAAAAAAACCTTTTATTACAGTTACTAGATTATGCCTACGGGGGAAACCATGTAATAAACGCGTCTTGCATTCCACTTCAAAGGTGGTGCAGAAACGAGTGCATCATCATAATGACGTTATTTTTTTACAACTCTGCTGTCCTCCCCTTCCTTTACATCACTCCCAAACTGTCACATTACTGGAATATACACTTTTTATCTTACCTTAATCTGACGCGCTCGAGAATTTCGTATGATCTTTTTTTTTACTTATCTGATCCTTCATCCTTCACGGGCGGCCTTATATATGGGGCTCATATTCGGTGGAGGTACTTAACCGAGTACAAGGTATCCCCCTGTAAATTAATCTGCCGCGCTTTAGTAAATCCCGAAATCCCCGGTATATTCAGTGTTGCCCTGCAAACATTCAAATCAAATTATGGTAAGATTTTGGTAGGTGGTAGAAAATCACATCGGTTCTTTCAAAGCCTGGCTCTTTCATACACACTCTCCCCTAGCCCACGAAATTTGAATTTTCAGAACAGTCCACGTATATGTGATGAAAAGCAACACTTGTGAAAATACTTAATTACATTAAACGACATCTGTTTAAATATTCTGAATTGATTTCCATCATCGCATTCCTAACTATTAATTCCATTTTGGGAACTGTTTTGATATGAGATATTTGCGAATATAATGAATAATGAAAATAAAAATAATATTTACTGAACATTCACATAACGTTAATTGAAAAGTGTTTTAACTGGTTGAATTCATCAACTATTATAGAATAATTCGAAATCATATTTTATCAAAAAATATTCTACAAGGAATAACT